GTAAAATTGAGCTAACTTTTCACCCACTCAACGAAATGCGCTAAAAATTTGGATTTAGAGGTTTTAGATGATGCTGAACAAGATGAGAATATCAAATCGAAAAACTAAATTTTGACGAGTGCTTCGATATCTAGCACGATGCTCGATGATCTCATTATGGACTCTCTCTTAAACATCTCCAATGTCTTGTTCATTTATTAAAGTTTGAACATATCGTTAGAATTTTCTACGAAAATCTTTCTTTAAAGGTTGTATTATTCATTATAAATATAAACAATGAAATGCAATGAAACAACCTTGATTGAATAAATCTTGTGATAAATCTGATAAGGAGAATAGGTCGAAAGTAAAATAAAACAACATCTTTTAAACCGAATGCTACTAAGAAAATATTTAAAAACTTTTATTCTAAACAAATATGTGCAGCACATAGAAATATTCTTAAAATAATTCATACATGGAAACAACATAAACATTTATATATACAGTATGCAAAATAATTATTTGGACATCCCATCATACCTATCTTATAAATCGAATTTCATAATGAAGGAAAGATATTTTCTTGACTTTCTTTATATCATTCGGTAGCCCGGAATCTCTACTTTATTGTACGAGAAAAAAAAAAAAGAAACAAGATTTCCATGAGTTTTGGAAGGCTTTTAGGAAACCACGTGATTTCTTAGACAAAAAAAAAGTATTTGGATACCTACGACTTTTTCTCGATAACTCCTTTATTTTTCATCGAAACCTATTCAATTATACCTCATTTGATAGAGAAAACATTTCTCTACATGTTGGTATAATTCAAAACGATATTTGCCGCTTTCTATGGCATATATCTTATCTACTATCGTTAGGAAAAAAGAAGTTATTTATTGAAGGTGTGTATTTGACAGTAGAAGTAAATTTTTTAGTAGAACGCTTTTAAATGAATCTAATAAATAGGTAGAATAGTAGTTCTAAATGCAAAGATTTTCGAAATGAGAACATTTCAGAGAGCGCTTATCAACTATAAAAAATTTTATAATTTGGATTCATTCTTTTATTTGGTATTTGTTTAGAATAATTTATTTTAACTTTGCTAACAATAGACTATAAATTTATAAGCCAGAGTTTATTATTTTCACACGTTGGTCTCTGGTGTGGCCGTATTGGCAAGTGTTGTTAATTCTTCTCTAAGTTTGAAACATATTGATTCTTATGCAACTCGTCGAGATCTATTCAACCATCAAGAAAAAAGAAAAGAAAACAGTATTAAAATCTTAACTTGTGAGTGTCTTACATATGTAGTGTAAATATTTAAAGAATCCATTATTTCGCTCTGTGAAAGCTACGGACAGCTCATATTTAAAATTTGCTAGTTTGGCGGTGAGAACTTAAGTTTGACTCGAATATGCATAATATTCTGTACTAACACTACAAAAGCTTTTATTGTAAATGAAACATATATGTATGTTAACACCTTGCGTCATCTTCAATTATTTAGTTTGAATAGAAGCACCAATAAAAAAAAATCCTTCTTTGTTATCAATGTATCATTCAGACTTTGTTATTTATCTTTGGTTTTTGTTTGACCTAGATGCTTGACTCTAGCGAAGAGAAAAAAATACACAACTAATTGTTTTCGAAATTACATTAAGTAATTTCGAAATTTTTACGTTTGTACAGCTATAAATAGAAGAGAAATTTTTCAGAAAAAAAAATCTAACATGACTTCGTATATAGCTGCATCTTCACCAACAGGAAATGGTCGTCAAATACAATTACTAAGTACAGATTTAATATTTGGTGGTATCGATAATGTTTTTGTTTATCCATCACTTGATGTTGATCGATTACGAAATGCTCTCAGTCGTACACTCTCGTTTTGGCCAATTTTAACTGGTCGTATTTTTGTCGATAATGATGATCAATATTTTATTAAATTTACTGACGATTCTATTCCATTTACTTATGCTGAAAATGATCAACTTGAACAATGGCCTGATCTTCCTGTTGTTGTTGATGATATGACATTAATTCAACCATTTATTGATTCAACTCAATATAAACCTGAAATTGAACCACTTCTTCGAATTAAAGTAACTCGTTTACTTCATAGTGATGAATATGTTCTTGGTACAAGTTTTTATCATATGGTTGGTGATGCTAATTCAACATTTCATTTTCATAATGATCTTTCACAAATTTATCAAAATCTTGAAACTATTCTACCTCGTCCAGTTTTTGAACGACATTTATTAAACAAAGAAGATTCGGAATTTTCTTTATTACCTGTTTTAAAATTATATCAAAATACAGGTAAAAGAGAAGATATCTTAGCTCGTCTTGGTAAAGAATACGCAGAAACAGATCCTATTAATATGTCATTTTCTTCTGAACAACTTACTAAATTACGTTCTCTTATTGAGGATACAAATGAAATCACAGCTCATGATGTACTTTGTGCTTATATTGTTTACTTAATGAACAAACATTTATTTACTAGCGAAGATGAATATGTTCGACGTGCTTATATGTATATTAATTATCGAGGTGTGTCTGATTTATTAACACCAAAAGGTTATGTAGCTAATGCAATAATGCAACCATTATCTTCTGATTTTCCAAATCCTCTATCTTTATCCAGTATTGCAAAAACAATTCGACAATTAATTAAAACAACACGTCAAGAAGATTTTCTTCAAAACTGGGTAACTTCAGCTAATATTCTTATGAAAAAAATTATAAAAGATGGTCATGTCAATTTTGTATGGGATAAAGATGAAGCTATATTCAATTCAAATTATAAATATGATTGGGCAGATCAAGTTGATTTTGGTATGAAAAATCAATGTCGATTTCATACAATGGGAATTTTTAAATATTATTTTCGAATTTTTCAATTAAATCCTGTTAAAGGTGAAAATGGAAATTGGATTAAAGATAATGAAGGTGCAGAAGTATCTTTTAGAATTCCAAAAGGTGAAATTAAAGAAAAATTTTTAGCAGCATGGAAAAAAGATATTCAAGAAAATTTTTTAAATGTCAAATAAATACACTTATTTGGAATTCATTCCAATGCTTTTTTTGCTTATGATAATGAACTTTTCTTGATTTAAGACAAATTATTTTAGTTTAGAAAATGTGGGAATTTAATAAAACAAAAGGATTCATAGACATAAATAGTTGCTTTGATTAATAAAGAAAGAAAAACTTGTTTCTATTTATCTGTGTCAAATACAGACAGTTTTACCCAATAACAATAAATTATACATTTTAAATCTTGACATAAAAAATGAGAATATTATGATTGTATCATGTTTAAAGAGGCAAAATGACTTGTCTTCATCATATTTTAATTATAATTCTATAATAGAGAAGAAAAGACCGATAGTCAATCGATGTTAACGAAGTGAATTGTTTGCTTAATATTGATTATAATCTATTCGTAATAGAATAATATTAAGTGTTCTACAGCATAAGTTTACAAATTAAAGCAGAGAAACCAGTCAATCAATTTGGAAAATCTATTGTGTACTAAATACAATGTTATATGCACTTTTGTATTTCCATCATTTTTACTGATTTTAATGCTATATATGCAATGACCCAATCACAAATAGCCAATGTTGAGAAAGCATTGTTTTCAAATATCTTGTTGTTGAATTTAATTTTTCACCAGCTCATCGTTCCAATTTGGTCTTTATATAATCATATGTTCGTTCGATACTCATTACACGACATAGAAGATTCGTGATAAGACTTAGAGATGGATGAAACTATATGACTTCATAGAAGTATGCTAAAACGACTTAATTAAGTTATAATATGTATCCTTGGTTTTTTTCTCTTAACTTGATGATTCTGGCCCTTCACAAGTAAAAATACACAAGAAATTTTTTTTCTGAGAATAGTTTTTCACTTAAAAAAAATGGAAAAATCTACGTAAATAGCAAAATCTAATGAATGGATCGAATAAAGATCGTTAACATTGGCATTAAAGTTTAGTATTATAGAAATAACGATAATCAATGTGAAGAGACATTCATTAAATAGATCAATTATTCATATATCGAAATATAAACCAAGAGGAAAAATCTAAATTTTTTCTCGATAAATATCGTAGCAATCTTAACAAATCAATATCATTGTACTCTAGCTTATTCAAGACGATCATAAGCTGTTAAGCTTCACACCAATTGTTTTCCAGAAGATTGTTTGTGTGAAAAGTGTCTTTTCTCTCATTAATCTTTCGCCGTAGTACTTTCAAATGGATCAACGCAACCTTGATATTCTTTTCCTCAGTATTTGGCTTAACTTACTGATTAGCAAGAAGACATAGTTTGATTTTTTTCTTGGCTATCGACACTTGTACAGACAAAATTTTTCTAGAGCCACTGTGGCATAGTAGTAATAGGAAACTTGAAGCACATTAGATGATTGAACTATTGCGTTCATGTAAAAAGTAGTGTCACATTGTTATATGGCAAATATTTACATTCATTTGTATACTCGCAAAAGTTTTCTCAATCATATTCTCAATACAACTTTTACGTACTGATGATCAGTCTAAATTTGTTTTCTTATTCAAAATTATTCACATAGTTGCAAAGAATTTTTTGGAACTGTTTATACCGTAGATAATCTATTGTTACTAACGGTTATAATATATAAACAAGTGATAGATATGCGGCATATATAGTCTAATTTTATATCAACGAGTAAGAACAGAAAAATAACTGCGATTCATTGAAATCCTTTATTTATCATTACAATTATAATTGTAAAATTTAATTTTGCTGTGTTATACATATGATATATAAGAAATTTCACAATTTCCTAACGAAGAAGAGGTTCTTTTCTTTGCTGCAAATCTCTGTTTAAATCATTAGTGTTGATCAAGATTTATATAAAATTGAAATAAAAATTTCATTACAACAAAAAATATTCTATGCCGTCGAAAATAAATTCAAAACAATAGTTTTGAAATTCCATTTTCCAGATAATAAATGTTTTTATTTCCGCTGAATAATAACAGCTGCATCGGTACGGATTATCGCATGTGTAGTACGTGTAGAATTATTAGTTTTTTTTCTACGAAATGATTCTTTAATATGTCGACGAAATCCACTATTTGAGATGATAGATATGTAAAAGCTAGAAACGAAAAATATATACGAAAGTAAATGTACGAAATCAATAAAGACTTGTTCTTCAGCCATTTGTAAACATGATTTTGACCAATTTTTACTTAAATTTGTATAGGTTAATTCAACTGCATGTGGAACATATGTTATTATAGTAATAATTGACTGTAATATGAGCATTAACGTTAATTGTGAATCTAATTGTTGAAGAGTGGGTCGATTTGTAATCGTTATAAATGAAATATTATTTTTCGGAACGATACGTCGTTGAATAACATTTCGAACATTTCGTATTAATAGATATGCCAGTACAAACATCACTATGGGTGGACACATTCCAGCAAATATTACTTCAAAATAAATATCGTAATCTGCATATACACCTGGGAGGCCAACACATATCCCATTTCTTATACTATATAAAATAAGTCGATGACCAATGAGTAAAAACCAAATGAACAAACATGTTATTGATAGTTTGTAGGCTAATGAAATACGATTACTCCATCGACGATATTCTTAAATGAAAATGACAAATTTTATATTTTCTCGTGTAATATATCTAATGAATTCAATTACAGAATAAGATGAAAACTCTAATTGATAATCTTTTATCACAACTAATAGAAGATTTTGAAAACACTATGTATTGAAACTTACTATTTGACCTTTGTGTCGATAAAAGTCGATCAACTGTTGCAAATGCAAATAATGTAAAAGACACTTGATTACACCATAATGAAACAAATTGTCGAAATTTACACATAATATCATAACGATTATTAATCGGAATCCCAAAACCTTTTTCAAGTATTCGTGTTAATAATACAAAATTAAAATAAACAAAATCAGTCATTGATTTTGATAATAAATAAATTGAATAAGCTCGATTACGAAATGATCGAGAACAAAACACCATCATATTACCTATTGAACTAATATTACCAGCTATCCAAAGAAATGAGCCAAACCAAATATTTAGTTGATATGGTGCAGCTAACAGAGTATAGCTAATTCTGCTTGTATTAGTATTCATCTTTAGTTGATCAATACCCAATACTTTATTTCAACGTTCTGACTCGTTGTCGAATAGAATATTTTACGTATTTTCTAGAAACATATTACTGGTTGAATGCAAGAATGTTTAATCTATTTTTCCATCATTACAATTACGTTCATATGTAATTAATGATAATATCTATGTTACAATATTTTATTCAAGAAGTCTTTATGAATCAGATTGTATTATTAATAAAGTCTTACAAAATTTTTCTTTATAAGATTTTCACATATAGATAGGCAAAAATATAGTAAATATAATGATTTATATCAACACTGTATTTTCTTTTTTCTACTGATATGTTGCTGTTTTTAGAAAACATATTTGAAATTTTTTCGTATAATAAATTTCTTAACGAATAATGAAAGTTTAATGTGTATTTTTCAATTGTATTGTTCATAGAAATTAAAGAAAATTTTAAAATATTTATTAAAAATAAAAGTTGATGAAATTTAATCCTATGATCATCATTTTAAAAGATAGATAACTTGGTTATCAAGATTATTTTCACATCGATTCATAATAAACAGTAATACATTTGTAAGTATTTTGGAATTTATATTTAGATTAATAAGCAACTGTAGAATGTTTCAGTCTCTCAATGATTATCATGCTACGAAAGATATTCTTATTTGTCAAACCACAATGTTAATTAAAATTTACGATCTCGAATTTTTCCGTATTCATACTATTATTCATAACATCTTATGAGATGTTTCACATAAATCTAATATTTTATTTCATTTGACAATTGTTGTGTACTCAAAAAGTGAGTACACTCTAGAATCGGTCAGTATGTCCGGCCGGCCGTCCGGCCGTTTACACGATAACTTTCGAAAGGAGAGTCAGATCGCGATGAAATTTTTTGCACAGTTCAGTCTTTACAATATCTCGGTCGAGTTCGAAGATGAGAAGGATCCGTCGAGAAATGACTGAGTTATAAAAAAAATTGTAATTTTTGACCAGATCATCCCTGAGGGGGAGTNGCAGTGAAATTTCTTATAAACGATGTTATATTAAAATATGGCACTCCAACATGTATATTAACCGATAATGGTACTCATTTTACTTCTCAAGTTATGAACAAATTATTTGAAAATATTGGAGTCACTCATCTTTATTCCACAGTATATCATCCACAAACTAATGGACAAATTGAACGATTTAATGCTACAATGGATGGAAAAATTGCCGCATTATGTAATGAACGACGTACGGACTGGGATGAAGTATTACAATTTGTTACATTTAATTATAATACATCAATACATGCAACAACAAAACAAACACCATTCGAAATGATGCATGGAAGACAAGTTACACTTCCATTTGATCAATAAAAAAAATTATTTCGCTCACACAAGATCCAGAGCATAGGGAAAAAATTAGAATATATCTCGAAAAATTAGTAAATGAAGCTCGTCAACATTATAAAAAATCAACAACAATATAAAGCTCGATATGATTTACATAGACAAGATTTATTACTAAAAATTAATGATTTAGTTTTAGCAAAAAACAAGAAATGTTAGAAATAAATTTGATATACGATATGAAGATCCATTTAAAATTATTAAACAATTAGGAATTAAAACATTCATTGTTCAACATGTAAAAAAATTAACATTAACAAGACAAGTGACAATGGATGTTATCGTTCTACTGGTGGAACGATGGAATTTAGTCCAATAAACACATCCCGAGAGGGAAAGATGTGTATTAGATGGCACAATTAGTAAAGTAAAAATAATTATCATTTATTATTAAGTGAAAATGATTCAGTTTGATTCAGCAGTCGATGCCGGGGAGACAGAATTTCACCTTCTCACTGACAAGGAGAGGCTGTCGAACTCGAATATTAAATATTTTTTTCTTCTTTTTAATACTTAATATGAAATGATATATTATTCAATCATAATGTGTAACAATCGATGTACTTTAACAGTATGCGCGCACTGTTTGGTGCAAACTAATGATGCACGTGGTGCAGGTTCACAACTTTACTATGATCAAAACAAGATTATGTTATATACACATCTAACACATCAAACGAAGAAAAATTTATATATATCAATGTAAATCGAACCATCTCATCAATCTCATGTAATTCGACAACATTATTAACATCGATTAATTCAACAACATCATTACCAACATCAACTATTTTATGAATGACATGATCATCATTACAACTCATGATATTGCATCAAATATATGAAACATATGAAGAAATATAGTATTATCATCTGATCGATTATTATTAAACTTAATTCAAGTTCTCCTTATATTGGATACATCGATCAGTCAGAATATTCAATATATAAAAATTATTTCACATTGATTTACCAAACAATACATATCGATATTATTTCAATCAGATTATTATCGTGGAAACAATACTCTATCCAATAATGTTAAAACTTCATCTTTAATATTATAATTATGATCACTACCAATTTATTTTTATTATCAAATCATTACCGAACTTTATCTCTGATTATGAAACACGAATTATTTTGAACGTAATCAAGTTAAACAAAAAAAACAACAATTTTGATAAACTCAATGACAATGTGTGGGGACACACATCTAATATAAGAGGGGAGGGATGTTAGCGGTGATTCATTCTCATTTCTTTCCTTTGATATCTTACTATATCTTTCTTCTCTTCTTCCTTTCTTTCCTCTCTCTCCTCTCTCTCTATTGTATGTTGTTATATATATGTACGTGTGATTAAGGGCATAAATGGGTAGTCAGATACACACTTCTTTTGAAATAAATAAACATCAGCTCGTCGAAACGAGCTAACAAATACTTTCAAACAACTAATAGCTAGCTCACCAATTGTTTGATGAATCAATGAAAAAAAAAATTTCAAGATATGTGTTAAAATAGTTGATCATTGTTTCTTTAAAGTTTCAAAAATAAACATTTATCAATACGAAAATGACGTATCGATGATTATTGTCAACTTATCATGATAATAAAATCTTTTTTATTTAAATACATGAAATTATCTTTTGAATAATGAAAGACTATAAGTTTGACAAGTATTTTCTAGTGAAACATCAATAAACACTCATAGATTATTTTGATAAAAACATATAAATTAATTAATTTACTTTTATATCTACCAAACAAATAGATTGTTCTTATTTGTGAAGAATTTCCAAAAATAAAAAATGATTTTCGAAGGCTATAGACTTTTATGGAATAGAAGAAATCATTTTGTTCTACACATCTTCAGAGGTTTCCATTGCAAACTTTATACACAATTATATACTATATGAGAAGACAATTTCTATAAAATTTTATTTAGAAAGATTGTATTTTAAGAACTTCAGAAGATAGTTATTCTAGTTTTCGTTCTTTTGAATTATATGAATCAGTTTTTATATAAATCTCACCAGCTTAACCTCTAATATGCCATTTTTTGAACAGAGGGAACTAAATTGTACTGTTTTCTACAAAGGACGGGGGCTCATAAGACCATAAATCGGCCCATCGAATTTTTTTCGAGATACCGCTTTGGAAACTATACAGATCAATAGATCTAAACAAGGCGAACATTTTGGTGCTATTTTTGATATACTTTAATAGTATTTTAGGTACCCTTTTAGCTCCCCTTTAAACAGCATTTTTCTACATTTTTTACCATATCTGTCCTGCAGACCATATATCAATATATGCATATATACACGACTTGTGTCAGCTCAAATTACATGAAACGGTAGAGAATATACGTCACTTTAAAGATATAACGATTTTGTAAACGCTTTATAAGTATATTGTCATAAAAACATCATAGTATTGCAAATTGTTCACAGTTTGTTATCCATATATACGTCCTGCCAACTTAGTATTTCGACTATATCTTAAGAAAAACAAAATACCTGTTCGTGAATTTTTTACCATAACTAGACGGAAGTTAGACCTTTAAAATGATAAGAATATGTCAAGTCCACGAGGTTGGCCATTTTTTTTATTCTGACATCAATGGTCAAAATCACATGAAATTGACTCTTCCTTACCATTGTTTGGACAATATCTCAAGAAAAACATAACAACTGTTCATAATTTTTTTATCGTAAGTAAAATTATATTGCATCGTATGAATTCATTAAATAGATGATACTTGCACGGTTGAAGTAACAATTCATTCTTTGAATCAAGAGTTTTGGTTCATACAAATAAACAATAATATTTCATTATGTTAATTGTTTCGAACATGAATATGATGTTTTAGAATTCTTATAGATACGTAAGTATTTTAATCTTCTGAAAAACTGGAAAGAAATTAATTAGCTGGTACATACTTCATTATTTGTAATCGCTTTGTCAAGTAGCTAAATTGCAATAGAAACATTCAAAAATTATCTTACGATGACAAATGCTTAATATGTGGTTCAGAACATGTGATCATTATGATAGATAGAACAGAATAAAAGTTATGATTTTACAGCGGTGTTTTCATTACTAGTAGCTAATTGGCATATATGTATATAATATATATATATATTTGTGGACGCTCGAATTTTTTTCGTTGGGGAAATGTGTCGGCTTTTTTTCTCGTTCATGTCATATGAGAGACTCGCAAAGCACATTTTCATTTTCGTTATATAAAGTGTGAACAATGCCACGACATGAACGTGTAAAGTGTGTTGATTGTGGAGGATATGTTGATTCGAATCGAAAACAGTTGGCGGGTTGTGGTTTATGGAAACTTTTTCTTTCAGCACGTTCCTCAAAATAAGTTAACAGTGATGATGCTGGATGTATTGATTGTCGCATGAAATATTTGAATTAGTTAAAGATAATTAAGGGAGATTTTGATCACTATGATGAACATTCTCCGAGTAGTGTTTGTAATATTGGATGTGTGAGTTTTTTTTAAAGAATATGTTGATTTTGATAATATGTTTTTTAAAAAGGACATGAAAATGGATACGAATAACAATGTTACTGAAAAGAGAGATGAAATCATTGCACAAACTGAAATTCAATCTGATACTTCAACAATTATGATTCCTATTGAACGTTGTACCAAATCGCATAGGTAATTGAGAATTTTCTGATTTATTTTTATTATGAATGATTGATTTACTTAAGAGAATGCATTGTGTGTGGATTGCGTGGTGGATCTCTGAAAGTATTACCAAAGGATCAACGTACGTTTGTTTTTGTTAAACGGAGAATTTTGATTCCTGCTGGTTCTCGCTGTTGTGCTGATCATCTTTATAATCGACATCTTAATTTTGACTCAATGAATCAAATTCATGCTGATCAAATGGAAGTATTCGTGTGCTATGCGAATCGTTTGCAAGAGATTTTAAATGATTTTCGTTTAATTTGTGTAAATCAAAGGACTTTTGACTTCGATAACCCATATTCATTAAATGATGAAGATTATTATAATATCACGGGTCTTCATAAGGGTAAATTGTACTTTAGTAAACTATATTTCTATCGAATACCTTCATCTGCATGTTCTAGAACAATTTGACAAAGTTGTTAACAGCGTCAACTCCATGCGTAATTCAAATAACCGTTCTGTTCGCGTAGCAGTCGCTATATTTTGTGCTAAAATGCGTCTTGGAGTCTCGAATGATGTTTTAGCAACTATGTTTCATATTCATGACAAACGAGCCGTATCTAGAATTATCCATCAGGTTACCAATGCCTTAATTAACGATTTTGCGCCGGCTCATATTGGATTTGGTCATATTAGTCGTCATTCCGTTTTGAAACATCATCAAACCGCAATTGCTAATGTGTTTTTTACAGATGATAGTGAACAGGTGGTGATTGTCATGGATGGCACTTATCTCTTCTTGCAAAAGTCAATGCATCATGAGCTGCAACGTCGTACCTATTCGATTCATAAGCACCGCCATCTTATCAAACCTATGATTGTTACTATCACAGTGAGAATGGCTTGCTTTAAGAGAGATAAAGTTTTAACAAAAATTTGTTTTATTTTGTAGAATGGATACATATTAAGTGTTTTAGGGCCTTTTTTCAGTGACTATAAAAACAATGATGCTAATATCATCCGACACTGTCTTCTCAATAATGAGCAGGGCATTTTAAAATGGTTAAAGGACGACGATATAATGATCTTAGATCGTGGATTTAGGAATGCAGTTCCTACTATGGAAATGCTGGGCTTTCGAACTGCGATGCCGAGCTTCCTCAATGGCAAGTCACAATTAATAACAGAGGAAGCCAATCAATCACGTTTAGTTACTGCTAATCGTTGGGTAATCGAAAGCAGTGAGTATTTGGTCGAAATTGCGAAACTTACTTTCAAGGTATTTCGCTTCTGGAGGTTATCTTTTTT